GGAAAGTTATCTCCGCCTTTAGCTCCACCCTCTTAACATTAATTATGCAGCTCAATGCAGCACTCCGAATCCCTACTGCAGCTCACCCACACTACAATACCATCACTTTCTCCCACACTCTATGTCTCTGTCACTCACACACACACACACACACACACACACACACACACACACACACACACACACACACACACACACACCTCTTTTTCCCTTCATAACTACATTCTCAGCTATGCATAGTCAAAGACAGCATTTTCTTCCAAACATCACCTTGTGAATAGTGTGCTTTTGCAAGGACTAAAAACATGTCTGTACCAGTTCTCTCGCAAGGTTATATGATGCTCACACTTTTTTACAAAAGGAGAAAAAAAATTCACTACACATGGGAAACAGGTAAAATAAAATATAAAATATAAATAAAATATTAAATATATTTATAAAAGCCCTGCCTTCAAACAAATGCACGTGGTGCCCTACATAAAATTTTTACAGTAGTGCTAACATCTTTATTTTCAGCAATGTTATAAACACAATAATTCAGAACATCTGATACATTTGATGTGAATGAATACATTTACATTCATTGCAAGTTGGATTACTATCTTTAGTTGCAGCGTGACTCACTACCAGCACATATTTTTGCCTTATCATTTCAAAGCCTGGTGCTGATTTCATTGCAAATCAGAAGCAAACACACTCTGATGTGCCGAGATAAACACACTTAGCAGCCCAAACACCTGTCTGGCAAGGTGTAATTGACTCAACTACTCGTGAACACAGCAAGAGGCACAATCAGACCCTGTCAGAGGTGTCAACATTACACAATGTAAATCAGCTACATCAGCAAAGTAGAAGGAAACCGGAGAGCATGCAAAGAGGGAAACTCTCACGCTTCAGCCGTCCACCCCCCAAGGCTGGCAGTGGGAAAGAAACGCAGCAACTGTTTATGGAAGCAGAAACAAGCTTCGCCTTCGTTTCCTAGAGCTCTCACGTGACTAAGATTAATTTCACATCTGCATGCATGTGTTTTTGTGCTTGTGTGTGAAAGAGAGAGAGAGAGAGAGAGAGAGAGAGAGAGAGAGAGAGAGAGAGAGAGAGAGAGAGAGAGAGAGAGAGTACTACTAGCCCGGTCAAAAGCTATATAATTAATCCAACAGCACTTAAGTGTGAGGCTACCCTGTGTGTGTCATTCATGCATACTGTGCACTGCCTGACTTAAGTGAGCCTACATCAGACGAAGGTCTTTGCAGTGGGATCATTATTTCTAATTCGTCACACAGGGCATCATCAACAAGATGTCAAGCCACAGGCATGCAAACACCGGCTATTCAAGGGTACATGCTGTTTGTCTCCCTTTTGTTGCCATTTCAATGAGTTCAATAAAGTCTCTGTCTATGTTTGCAAAGGTGCTATCTCTGGAACAAAAGCAAACAGCAAGGAATATGTTTCTAATGAGGAAAGCATGGCCAGGGAAGGTGATATCATTCAGCCGGTATCTGGTAAAGTGAATCTGTAATACGCTTACATAATCCAGGGGGAGCGTGAATTGTCTACTCCCTCTCTCTACATGACAATGGGCTGGCAGGTGCCGGTCGGCTGGTTAGTCATCAGATGTCCAGAATGCACAACGGCAGGTCAAACGCTTTTTGTAAGGTTGCTGTTGATCAGCAGGCAGCCCTCCGCGCTGTGCAGTTCGGCTGCTGCAGGGGTCTTTTCAGTGCATGCAACCGGATGGTGAGCAGAGAACGCAGCGGGGGCTGGGCACTGCAATGTACTGCAGTGCTCGTAGCTCTGCTATGCACACCCACTCACTTCCATTCTTGCTCTGCCTCTGACAATCTCTCGCCCATACTTTCATCATTTGTCTTGTCTTGTCTTGTCTAACCCTTTCTACACTTTCTTCCTATTGCATTTTTCCTTTTCAGGCTCATTTTCTCCACTCTCTTGAAACTCTCTTGTAATCCATGTGTCCAACACTCTTCCTTTATATTCTTCATTTTAACAACCCTGTCCTCTAACACTCATAGGCACACTCAGACACACACATTTACACAAATACATACATAAATACACCCTATAACCTTTCCCTGGAGAGCATGATAAAGTGCCATTTTTCGGGTTATAGAAAAGGCGCGCACACACACTGTCCTTCCAACACTTCACTGTATTTATCACGGTGTCATTCTACTGTCTCCAGTAAGGTCTGCTCACCTTAATCATGTGCAAAATGTGCCTGTACAACCTAAACAACACAGGAGTAACAGTATTTGTGCTTGTTTGGCGAGTTCTTTTTTTTTTACAGTACCTCTTTTCGTCCTGCTAACGGTAGTATGTCACAGTGACAGCCGTTGTTGCTCCGCTATGTTGCCTACACCATCATTTACAGGGGCACACCAAACGCCCATGTCACACAGTCTGGGACAGAGGGTGTCATAGACGGAGAACGAGCAATGACAAGCCCGACAGCTGCTCCCATCCTCCAAAAACCGCGCAAAGTTTTAGAAAGAGATCCAGTACATAATCTACTTTATACTGTATAAGAGAAGACAATACAAATATAAACCTTGCTTGTCCCACCAGCAATCCTTTTCCAGCATACAAAAACTATTTTTGTTGTGATGCTGAAAAGCCTGATTCAGGAACACTAAATTAGACTTAAGTTTAGGTAAATCACAGGATACAAGTCTGTACATTTAGACCAGACATTCGATCTAATCAGAAGTGGTTCCTCTGTCTCCCGCACTCTACTTCTATCCTAAAGAGGGATAATGGTTAATTCTTGGGAACAGTGAGGGGTCTCATTTCCGTTTCTCATTAAAGAGCTGGGGTTTCTGATCATTGCATCTCCATGAGTTTCTCAGTATGCCGGCTGCATCCTGTAGAGACACTTTCCTGGTTGCTCTCAACCATGACATGAAACAAAGCTTTGTGTGACAGCAGGTGTCAGAACTGTACAGGCTGCAGTCATTACATGTTTTACATTTCCTTTTCACCGATTTGACATTTAAATAGCTTTCTTGGAAACATAATAAGTTGCTAGCTACTATCTGCAGACATAATGTATCATTGCTGCTCTTTTAATAATGCTATCCTTTTGATGAGGTGTTTTCATGCAAACAAATCCATCTAATATGCAGATGTCAAACCTGAACAACTTTGCTGCTGCAGTCAATTTTATCCCACAGCTTTATGTGTCACTCTGAGCTTTGCAGTGGAAAGTGAAAGGTAGAACAAAAACCACAGCAATGCAGCTCCCACCTGGAGCATACAGTTATAATACAGATAGACAACGACAGAAAGGATATGGGGTTTTAAAAGGAAATAGCAAGGAGCTGAGTTTTCAGCACCTAGCTGCAAAGACACAGTTCTCTTTAAGATGGATTGTGTTCTAAAAAAAGAGAGGTGCATGAATAATGAAAAGTGTTTTCTTCTTGAACTGAAGTCGCAAAATAACAGATGTGCACAGCCAACTCCAGTATCAATTAGGGACTTGGAAATATGTATGGCCAGACAATTTATCAGGTCATCTAAATAGACATAGCTTTGCCTTAAACTGTCACCCCACCCTCATTGCTAAACACTGGTTTGCATTAAACAATTTGCTCTGAGCTCTGTCCATGGTGCTGAAATCAGTAACACTTCTTTCCCAGCTCTCTCCTTATCCCCGAATATAACTAAGTGTTGAATTATTGAAATGCTATTTAAAACCAGTTATTGGGATCAGTGAGTTTGGTCAGGTTCATGTAGCCTATGTCTTTTGCGCCTATCTAACTATCTGAAGGATGAAAGGTATTAGCCTTTGTTCTAAGTAGTATAAAAAACACCAGCACACACTGTACTCTGTATCCTGTCAAACAACACCTTTTCAGTGTGCCCACACAAAATACACCTTGTCCATCCATATTTCCTCCCATTCTGCAGCAGGCCAGTGTTCACAGACATTTTCAACAGAGAAAACACACAGTGCCCACTGCTGGACAGTATCATATTTTCATTCACAAATGATGAAGGTCAGACCTCAAAAAGAAGAGACAGTGGGATGAAATAAATACAGTGTGATTGTTCTTACAGAAGGCTATTGATAAATGCAGAGTGAAAGTAAAACACGTGTTAGTGTGAATCGCCTGCCCTTCATTGTAAACAAACAAAGCTTCACTTTCCTTTGTGGTTGAGCTCATTTTACAATAATTACGATCCGTATCTTCAGTGTATAAATATGCAAGTGAAGGTACACATACATGATACTGCTATTGCTTTCTGCTTATTTGGTTCACTGTAGTCAGTAAGCCTAGTTCACCCAATCAGAGAGTCTACTTTTGCTGCAGCCTAAGAACTGAAGGAAGTCCCAGAGCACCGGATAAACAAAACAAAAAACTCCTCAGCAGGCTCAAACGCTATCATAGCCAATTCAATCTGTTATCTAAGCAACCCCAAATTATACCCAGAATGCACAATGAGAGCATGCACAACAAAACTAAAATGAGCTGCAGTGCTCTCTGAGCTTATCAGTGTGCACTGAATGTCCAGTATATGGGACACAACTTGACTCTTGTCCCAACCAGGGATAGAAAAAATAAGTTTAAACCGTGGCAGTCATTTTAGAAATCTGGGAGCTGCTTTGAGTGGCTCTGCCTGGCACTGGCTGGATGCTGAGGCAGCTCCACTCAGGGATGTAATAGGATACTGCAGCACTAGAGAACCGTGTGCACAGAAACTTGCCTGGAAGCATCAGGGAGTCCCGCACTAACCTTTCCCCTCCCACTCTGCCTTCCTCCACCTCTCCCTCTGCTTTTCTGCCAAATCTTTAGAATGTAAAAAAAAACAAAACATTTGAGGATAAATTCATGTATATATTTAAATGTATTTCATGTGAAAGTCTGAAAGAAGGCTGACAAGCCAGAACATACACTGGCTAAGAATACAAAAACAACTTCGCAAGAGTAAAAAAAAGATGAAAAACCCAGCATGCCTGCAAGTAGGAGGAGAACGCAGCTGCTTACCTTTAGTGCAGGTTGCTCTCTTCTGGACACCGAGCTCTTCCCCTTCTCCACAGGTTCAGAGACACTTTGAGATAGAGAGAAAAAGAATCAATCTTCTCCTATACTTTCTCTTATTTCCAGTTTCAGAATGAATAAGTCAACACAGCCCTCTGGACACACCTTTACTCTGTCCTCCTGTAAACTCTGCCACATATACACACACAGACACCCAGTCACATGCACCCCAAGACTGGAGTACACAAATTGATAAAGATCTGCTCAGGGGAGAGATAAAAACTACACACGCTCACACACTGCAGTTTTTTTTACCCCCCTTCCTCTTGCCCACTCGCTCTGCTGCTTTTTTCCTGCTGTCTTTGCCTGCACTGCCTCCTGATTGGCTAAGCTGCTTTTCAATAACATAAGCTCTCTTCTTTAATTGGAAGGGCTCCAGTTGTGTGGTGCACCAGAAACCCTCCCGCCCAGCTCATCTCTCTTCTTTTTTTCCCTTTTTTCACTAAGTGCCTGTGGAGGAGAATGCTGAGCTCTGCAGTTTCATACGCATCGAGCAAAGAAAAAAAGGAATGGAGGACAGAGGGAGGGGGGATGGGGGGGGATAAGGGAGAGAAAAGGAGCGAGTGGGAATGGGGGAGAGCATCGGCGGCAAATCAGTGGACCGCAGTGGGACAAGCAGAAGCTACTTGGGAACAAAGAGGTGCTATTTAGGGGGGGTGAGCGCAGATTTGGATGCACAGTCCACCAGCTGCAGCATGTTGAGGTGTGATGCCAGGTCAGATGAAGGGAGATTTCCCTGCACTCGTTGCTGCGTGGCTATGTGGCTCTGCTGCAGTGTGGAGTCTAATTGCCAGGCAAGAAGGGGGATGGGAAGGGAGCAGGAGGAAAAGGAGGAGGAGAGTGGGGGTTGGTTGCAGTGATGCTGAAGTACAGTCTTCCAGCCAGCCAGGATATGGGGGGGGGGTTATGGGCAGGCAGCCGCAGTGTACAGCGGTTAATGCCTTTTCCTCATGAATTATTGAAGGTGCCCCAAAGGAGAGTGGGAGGGTCACAGGCAGTAAACTACTGAGCCTGTTCAGACAGTCTCACTGCTACTGAGGTTTATTTTAATTATCATACCTGAAGTACATATCGTCAAAGTATTAAAAGGAGCCCCCTTCAGTAGGATTATTTAATCCATCTAATGTAATATACAGCTTTTAGTGAAGATTGCATAATATTAGCTCTCTGCTTCCCACATCAGTTTTATGGTGAGTTAAAAGGCTTACCCGTGTGTGGGATTGACTTTGCGGTGTCAGGTTCCCGCCCCTTCTTTCTTTGACTCACATCTGGTACTTCCAGTGTGTCCCGGCTACATTAAAGTGCAATACCCAAGCAGATCAATAATGAATCATACAATACCTCGACCATCTGCAGAGGCTACAACAAGCACTGTAGAAGTTATATGATGCCCACGGAGAAATGCAAATATACTGTTTGCTATATCAACAACGAAATTGCCTGGTAGAAGAATGGGAAAGAGATACCTGATATTTTAAGCTCAACGCCCTGGTGCAAATACCATGTAATGTGAAACATGATGGGAGAGGTGAATACATCCCAGTAATATCTGGATTTAGTGACGAATCTAGATAAGCATGTTTTGGAAGTAACCCTTATCTTGTCAAATAAGCTGAAAATGTTTGATTGCACATGCACATACACATAATGGATAATCTGTACAAATATGTCCTTTTTGTCATCTTCTTACAGAGGTTAATAGGGATTCAGTTGACTTTGATGTGAAAAAAGAACATTTATTTCCATGCCATCTATAAAATAATTTTTTTTTCCCCACTGAAAAGAGATTATCATCACGGCCATATATTCTGCGGGAATGATACAGAAAAGTGCATAAACTACATATTACAATAAACAAACATTTCCATCAATCATCTACACATCTTTTCCTTCATCACTGTGGTCTCTGCTTTCTCAGGAAGGCTGTAGACTGTGATGGACACGTTTGTGTGTTTGAAGACCTGTTCCAGTATCTCCGATACTCTTTCCCACTGCAGTCGATCCAGGCCACAACCAATACTGTCACAAAGAGAGAGAAACACACACTGATAAACTGTAACAGTAACAGAACCAATACAAATCATGTCACATTTAAAATGAATTCAATGAGCATTTCCCTCTTGAATCTGGGTCGATGAAGTATCACTAAACGATACAAACCGAGGCATTGATATTCGTGTTACTCCGTTCAGTGCACAGTGTGACTTCATGTCGTCCAGGCTCTGTCTCAGGCTATCATAGGTTGGCTTTTGGCTGGCCTTTTTCTTTGTGATCTGCAATATAATAAAAGGAAAGCAACATTAAAATGAACAACAATGTTTCTGAAAATGTGCATAGGAAATAATTAAATTAAATAACAATAATAATAATAATTAAATAACTGTTACATCTTTAAGTAAGTAAGTAAAGTTTATTTATATAGCACCTTTCACAGACAAGGGGGGGGGGGGGGTCACAATGTGCTTTACAGTAAATAAAAACATAAAAGGTCACAATACCATAACAATTAGAAGACAGCAAGACCATATAGCTAATTAAAAGCTTGTTTAAAAAGATTTGTCTTTATTTGTTTTGTTTTTTTAAGTTTCCACAGAATCCATAGCTCTGAAGGCTAAAGGGAGGAGGTTCCAGAGCCTATAGGAGCCACTGCACCAAAAGCACGGCCACTTCTTGTTTTAAGACTTTACCAGATAGTAGACAAAACGTCTGTCTCTTTGTAGTACAGCACACTGTCCCGTCAGCTTTTCTGTTTGGATACAAAAAGATATTATCTACATCAGAATAAAATACAATACAAAGCCCAAATATAATGGGTTTTTAAAATTAAACCTCAGGTGAACAAGTCATTAAATTCATGCTGTAAACTCGGTCTGAAGCTATAAAAGCACTGAACAATTGATACATAATATATAAAGTAGGACAGTGCAGAATAAGATGATTGTGTCCAACTGTAAAGTTTTAATAGTCTACTAAAAACTAAACAAGCTTCTCTGTGGTGAACAAAATGACTGACTGGAAATCAATACCCCCTCCAAAATAAGACGTTTTCCCTCCTGATGAATTTATAATAAAACGGGCTGACTCACTCTGTTCCTTTAACTCTCCTACCCCTTTAAACTTCTTCTTGAACATCACTGCTATGCCTGCCCCCATGCGGCAGTCCTCACTGATGCAGTGAGCAAGAGCGTCGTCCTCAGGGCAGGAGAACAGATTCCCAGTCACATAATTCAGTTTCCAGCTGTGTTCTGCAGGCTGGCCAGGAGGGGGCAGCATTGCACCGTGTGAGGAAGCATAATAACAGAGCAAGAGAAATAAACACTGGCGTCTGAGAAGGTTAAACTATGACAGAAACACCCCTTTTTTAGAGCATGTCAACCAAACGTTTTTTCCCCTTTAAGCGTAATATTTACCTTGATTCCATCAGTGTTGACTGGTTTCTCAAGTTCAGACGACATTGACAACAGTGAGTAGGGAACTTGTGCGGTGTTTCACGTTAGGTGTGTAACGTTTCAGTCGTAAACACATTAACGCTGGCTTATCCTCTGCTAGAAGACGTGTTAGCTAACATAAGCTTATCATGCGACAGTAAAATGTCTCGTATAACTTACAAACAGTTGACAGGAGGCAGCCGTTTTAATGGTAAATTAAGGGGTACTCGGTGTGCTCTTTGGTTGCTCAGTAGGTTTCGGTTTGCAGCAACTGCCATGAAATCGGTCTGTCTTCTCGCGAGACTTTGTGGAGAGACGGTATATCCTGAATAACGAAGTGTTTAAAAGCTACTCGGCAGATTCATTGATATTAGCACCATCCATAATTTGACTACCATCTGCCAACTATTCAATTTAGTGTGGAGTGAGATTCGGTATTGGAGGTCGGTTCATTTTAGGACTTCTATGTCATATTCCACCGCAGGGGTCGGGGTCATCACTCTTTAATCCTCAGGACTTTTGTTTTTAAACAGCCACATATATGTGCAGATGAAAAGCCAAGTCAATAATCATGGTCAGATCAGTGTGATCAGGATACTTGCCAACCTCCAGACATGATAGCCTTAATTTTGACCAAACCTAATAGTCTTCCCCCAGAATCTATGGGTCAAACCAGAGATGTATTTCTGGAGAATGTATGGAATATTATAGTTTATACTAAGCAACAGCATAGCTTTTCCTTTAGCAATGTAGGAGCCACTGTATTTTTTTTATCATTAAACACTTAATTTTCTGCATTCTGGTGAATTTGTCTGCATCAGTTGATGGTGGAAATGTTTTTATCTAGGCTATGTCAACGGAAACACAAAACTCAGGCAGCAGGTGACTATTTAAAATATAAAATATGCCAGAATTTAACTCAGAAGCCTTCTGTATTTCTGTTTCTTTCATGATTTAGTCCTCCCTCCCCTTTGTGTCTTTCTTTTGGGAAGTTCCTCTTTAAATGTGGCACCTTTTCACCTCAAGGATAAATTAAGATAGATGAGACCTGTGCAAAACGAAACTAACTGAAAACACTTTACCACAGATCCTCACATGTTAACTTCAGCAGCTCTGTGAGGCTCACATTACCAACAGAGCAAGGCTGTGCTTTAGTTTATTCATTTTTATATTGCAAAACTCTACCAGCTCGAGGGCGTGTGAAAAGTGTCAATTGCATGAGTCTCACGCTGAATGCGTGAGAGTTGGCAGGTCTGTTAGAATATTTACACAAAACTGAAACCTTCTACCAACTATTTTTTCAGCTGAAAACCGTGAAATTGTCTCCACTAATCATGATATTTCTCAGGCATTGAGTTGTAGTTTTAAAATGTAATGTCTATACACATAGTGTGATGCCCTGTGGGGTTATGTGTGGGTGTGGCCGCTCTCTCTTCCTGGTAGAGGAAGAGCTGATTGCAGTAACTCTGGCCAACTGGGCTAATTGCCCTGTAGAGTATTTAACATTTTATTCTCATTCTTAGGGGTGAGGTTGCTGCTGGGTTGAGGATGGACGGACCTCTCTGCTAACTTGTTATCATCTGTTTCCCGCCACAGGTTCCACCTTCGCCTTGGTTTCTGGACATGTTGTTTTAGTTGATAGTTATTATTTCTTGCACATTACAACACCCTCACACACCTTTTCCATGCATCCATCATCCTGACCTGACTGAAACCACTGATGGTCATACCCCATATTTGTTTGCCTTTACTTTGGCACCAGCCTTAATTTGGTTAAATTTGGTGTTAATTGTTTTAAAAGACCCTGCAAACCTTTAACATTAACATTAAGCTACCAAACCGACTGCACTGATAAAAAAATAAAATTGTAAGTCGTCCCAGTCTAATAGTTGCATCAAAACTATCAGGTAGTGAGAAAAAAAGGTCAATCAATCTTACTGTGCATACGCCCACACAGATCTAATCATACTAAGTGAAAAAAACACTCTTTGGTGGAGCATAGTTGTGTAGGGGCTTTAAGTATGTTTATTGAATAACATTTTTGCTCATGACACAAAAGGTAAATACAGTAAGCACCCTATGTATTCAAGCTATGAAATAGAAACATACCTCAAATGGCAATAAATAATGTCAAAACTATGTTGCTTAATAACTTGTGTGAAACCAAAACTAAAATGAATAAACAGGTTGCCCCTTTACAAGCAAAATATATCATTAGAATTCCAGGATGTGACTGGTGTTGTCATCTTTTATATACATATAAACTGCAATAGATACAAAATCAGAGTATGATTGGATGAAGGATGCGACAGATTGACAGTTCAAATTCTAGCCTTAGAAGTCAGCACTGCGTCTTCGCTCATTGATCCAGTCCCCAGGGTTGACGTCCATCTGCAGCATCTTCATCACCCACTTGTCCCTCCGTGCGCCGTCAATGAACTCATCCAACGAGAGCTCCCCTAAGATGATGAGGGACAGTCATTCTCTGGGCTTATTTTACTGTACATTTTACAGTAATTATAAGTATATTACAGAAAACTGTTTACAAACACTCACCATCTCCATTTTCATCAACCAACTCAAATATTCGGTCAACCACTTGGTCTGGGGTCAGCAGCATGCATTCTTCATCTAGCTCTCCGTGGCAGGCTTTCTTCAGTCGATAAATAGACTGTGTGTGACAGGAAAGTATGTTACAAGGATTCATGCATGGACTGTATTTCATCACAGCCCTCTGATTTATCTTCAAATATTCTTTGAAATGTCTTAAAAGCCTAGCACATTAATAGTTGCATATAGTTACTGTATAATAGTAAATATTACCTCCACAATTTCAAGAAGCTCTGTTTTATCAATGCATCCGCTTCCGTCTTTATCGTACATTTTGAATGTCCATTTAAGCTTATGTTCCAATTTTCCCCTCAGGACTAAGTTCAAGGCTGCCACATACTCCAGAAAATCAATAGTGTTGTCCTGTGTACATAAAAAGAAAGAGTTCAAATGCTATGAGCCAAATGTTTCTTTACTTTGACAGGCAAAATGTCTGTTCTGCAATATACTAAAAAGAATATAAAGACAAAAATGATAGAAACTGAAGCATTCAAATTTCCATCGTAATTTCCCAGGGCCCAAGTTGACATATTTGGATAAGATATTCAGTTAACTTTCATAGAGGACTAAGAAAACCAGCAAATATTCACATTCCAGAAGCTGTGAATGTTTACTTATATAATTAATCGACTATCAAAATAGTTTCTGTCAGATGACTAATTGAGTAATCAACTAATTGTGTCAGCTCTAAAGATATGTGCTCAATAATGGACTTTACCTGCAATTGTCACAAATGCTTTCAGTCAACAGATGTTCACTGTTACTGTGACAAGTGTAGTGTCAATATTGATGTGATACAAATGACTCTGTACAAGGCTTATACTTCCACACAGCTTAAGTTTATACTTACGCCGTTCTTGTCAAAGGCCCGAAACATGTTTTCAATGTAATCTGCGGCCTCCTTGTTCTCAGTAACGCCAAAAAAGCTTTTGAACTCATGCATGAAGAGAGTTCCACTCGGGCATTCCACAACAAATTTTTTGTACCATTCCTGCAGCTCTGCCACATCAATTTCCTTGTCTGGGTCACTATCCTCGCTCAGGCGCTGACCCATTTTGGAAATGTTTTCTTCAGCTCCCTAAAGATTTAAATGTTTTTCTTACATTACATGAAACAGTTTGACCTGGGTAATTCTTTTAAAGCTTCCCTCTACATTACAAACAAACTTTGGGCAAATCGGTAAAGACCAAAATTATCAAAATGACGCGAAAGTTCATACAAGCTGAATTGTTATTGGGCTCTCTATCGTGGCATATCCCATCTGAGAGTGAGGATGAGACACTGTTAAGGATCACATGATAAGGGATTAGAAATGGACACTTGTCAAAATCAATTAGTTCACAGACTGCTCATGAGAGGATTTCTTTGTGGCCTTGCTTCTACATAAACAGAAAAAGTGTGTTTACTCTGTGTTCGCTTTGAAGAAACACACTCCTTACTAATAGGTTTCAAGTATCTCTATGGTTTAGTGGAACTTTTAATAACAACGTAATTATTATACTGGATGAATAAATGTTTGCATGGCAGGGTCAGTTTACTAGGCACAAAGATTTAAAGCCAGAGTGTCTAATGGAAAGATGCAATTAGTTGCATCTTTATGGGAAATGTAGGATTCAGCCCATCTGGAAGCGCTTGACCAATTCTAGCCAATAAAAATCTGGATATATGCTGTTTAGATTTTGACAATCTTTGTTAATCTGTTTGTTTTGAGTCCCCACACTTTATGATAGAATAATAGTACATCCCTGATGTACTCCTTTAAGTAATCCTTCCCAGTAGAATAACAGTGTCACTGTTGGTGATTGCCATGGCCATTATAGACAGGTGAAAGCTTGGCCAGGCCCACGGTATGTGCTGACAACAGGGATAGTGATAATCTTAGTTTAGAAGTGTCAAGGCCATCTGAGGTGTCACGCCGGATTAAAATGATTCACACCCTCCGTACTTACACAAGATATATATTTAAATCTCACTCATATTTTCCTTCATTTAATCATCTTACATAAGATCTTTTTGTGTACCCAGGTTGCATTGACAAGACTGGTCCCAAGTAACTTTCATTTCTGTATTGTCTCTGTAACACTGCTACTTCCTCTACTACTGACTACAGCCATGCTAATTGCTCTGTGAGGCTGAACTTGTAAGCATGCTAACGTGCGTATAATGATAATGCTAGCATGTTGATGTTTACCATGTTCCCTGTGCTGGTTTAGCATCTTAGCAGGCAAATGTTTCTGTTGCTAATTAGCACTAAACACAGTTCAGCTGAGGCTGACGGGAATGTTGTAAGCTTTGCAGGTATTTGGTCATAAACTTACATATTGGACAAAATTAACTGAAAACCCAGATGAGAAATCCGGAGATCCAAGTTATTACAACAGATCATCCTCTGGGGACCATGCATAAATTTAAATTCAGACCAGAGGATTGCTAAAGGAAAAGTCACAGGATCACCAAAACATCTAATATTAGTTGAGATATTTCACTCTGAACCACAAATGTCAACATATTGATGGCACTGGAGGAAAGGTCAGGGGCTGACAAAAGTCAGAAGGATTTATCCTATGGTGACCATGAATGTCTGTAAATCAATCCATAGCAATCTAGTAGTTGTTGAGATATTATATAAATGTGTAATTTTACTTTATTATTATACAGCCATTGCTGCTGTGTTCTGTTACTGCTTTTATTTATTTGTTTTATTTTACTACTATTCTGCGACAATTTAACTACTTTGGGATAAGCCATGCGAATTTTCACTGTACCGCAGTATGATGACAATAAGGAACATTTTACAGTGCACTTCTTAAAAACAAACAAACAAGACCATCAACAGTCATGCAAACATGCTAATACTAGAAGTAAACGTTAAGAATGTTTAAAAACATGATAAAGCAAATTTACTGACATAAAATACTAAATTGCTAATAATATAGTACATTTGGCTAGTGTTGGTGTACAATCAGCATGTTATCATATTCTGCCAGCATTTAAGTCAATGTACTGCTGAAGACAGAAATCTGGTCATGAACTTACTGTTAGACATGAGGAAATTTTGAAGTGTGGGGTGGGAGTCACACCTCAAGCATGGCAAAAAAGTAATTCCCATAATTCACTGGCTGTCATTGTTCTCAGGTATGAAACATAACTAGATTTGCAACTCAAAAGATCAAATCCCTTAATATTAACTGAGCGTAGTACACTTCAAATTTTGAGCTTTTATTGCTTTCCATGAATACTATGACACAAGCTCAAGCATTCAATTTCCAGCCATTATTAGTTCTACAAAGGCAATGGCCATGTATAACAAGTCTACAAAAATGTAAAAATCAAAGCTATCAAAAGGGACACTTGGAAAACTAAAGTATGACTTACAGAAAGTGTAAAAGTACGTTGTGTTCTGCTGACAGATTTTGATGCAGATATGACTTCCCTTAAGCCAACCCACTATACTACCAAACCAAACTGGTTACTACTGGCAACATTGTGTGTTGATATTGGCTTCATACAGTGACAAAGCAAAACTATGACGTTTTCCACATCCTTCAGGGGGTCAATGCAAAGAAGTGCAAAATAATGTTAATCAGAAATACATTTTATGGTCTGTGCTTCATAGAACAAGCAAACTAACATGTTTGAAGTGTTGCTTCACATTCTTAGTGGCACATGTCCTCATTCAACTGGAGACACACCCATTCATAAGAAAGATAGTCAAAACAACTATGCTTAGGCCAAAACACAACTCAAACTGTCAAATGTATCTTTTTGGAAATATTACTAGAACAATGAAAATATTGAATACATCAGTTATTCAAGGTTAAATTATAACACTCAGATATAAAAATCAGGAACAAAAGATTAGAAAAACTTTTAGTCAACAGTGAAAAAGCAGTCCCTATTATCTTCTTTAAATCATGTCCTTCCAGTTTAAAGACCAGGTGATGTGTGGCCTTGAGTAGTTGTAACTGAAGCGGACAAAAAGATCCTTCTGTGATGAATCTCGAGGTCCACATCGCTCCTGGTCCTGAAGTTTAGAGGTCCACAGTGCTACAGACATACCCTTGGTGTGGTATCATACAGTGTAAAAAAAAGTCAGTTGGCAGGCTAGGCTTCAAGTTAGTCATGTTCCCCTGGCTCTATCGCGGTCTTTGCACTGTTTGTATTGTTAGCGTCAACCTCTGTTGACAAGTCTGGTGAATTACTGGCTGAGGGGACCTGCTTGTCGATGGGTGGGCCTTCTCCATCACTGCTGCTGCTGCTACTACTTTCCCCCTTATCCTGTTCAGAGCTTGTACTCTTCTCTGATGGAGCAGCCTGCTCAGGCTGATCCACAGGGCTGTCATTCTCCAGACTGTGGACATCCTTCCTCTCAGATGAGTCTTCTTCCCTTTCAGAAGGTTCTGACTGTGTGCTGCTGGGCTCTGAGAACCAAAGTGGACAAAATTAGGGCTGCAACTAATGATTATATTCATTATCGATTAATTTGGCAATTATTTTCTCAAATATGATTAGCTGTTTGTCTATTAAATGTCAGGAAAGAGTGAAAAGTGTCCATCAAAAATTCCCAAAGCGACGTCTTGTTTTGTCTGACCAACAGTCCAAAAACTATATATTGAGTTTATCTTTATTTGTATCCCTTTGAAGCACAACTTTAAACATCATCTCGAAAACTGGCATATACAGTATGAGGGAAATTATTGGGGCTTTAATGACTACATATTGTGCTTAAGGGACCATACTATGTCCGCTAAGTGAAAATGGGTTAACACTTACCATGATCCTCTGAAATTGTAGGTGTGTCACTAGATGTTCCACTTTTGTACTCTTGACCACACAAGTCTTTTGAAGTCTCTGGAAAGCTCTCTGACACTTTACAACAAGATGACTTCTTTTCTTCACTTTCTGTTTCACCTTCTTCTTTTTTGTCAAACTTCAGCCTCTTGACCTCATGCTTATCTGCATCAGAATCCTCCTCCTCTTCCTCGGGGTGTTTATTCTTTATCCCGCTGTTTGGGGAAATTTCACCTTCTGAGGACGAGGCATCACTGCAGTAATGACAGACGCGGGGAATCAGTTCATCAAAATATATAGTTAAGATAAAGGCAATGAGCAGCTCATGTATTCGTTTTAAAGGTGCAGTCTTGCGAAGATCTGCTTAAGGAAGAAATGTCTGGGCTTCACATATATTTTCAGTGTAATTGCATTTTAAATAAAAACATACTGAATGGACTCACTCATCAAACTACATACTCAATCACAGACCCATATATGTACCAAACTTAGTTCAATTACCTGATATGGTGCTCCTCCACCTCCTCTGTGGTTGCCTCTGGCTCTTTACTGACTGTACAGTCAGGGAGCCCATTGGTCGAAAGCGAATGACAGCTTGACAGCTTTGGTCTGTTGAGCGATTTTGGTGTGCTTGGTCCATTTATGTTTTGACTGCAGAAAAAGAAAATGACAATTTCTTAAACAACTCATATCACAAGGTGGCAAATTAGCAGAACTACTAAGACCCAAACTGACAGGCAAGACATAAATGCCCTTACTGTAGCCTTGTTGGTTTTTGGATATTTGGCTCTAAACTAATTCAACTTTCCACTTGCTGAGGCAATTTTAGATTTGTGGAAGTCAATCACTGACAAGTATGTGGCTCCCACCTGTCTGAATATAGAGAAGAGTTACCAGGAAACATCACTCCATTCATTCTGTTTACACTGGATGCCCCATTTTTCCTTCGAAAGAAGTAGAAAGGCACAAAAACAACTGGCTGTTAATTGTGCCTTTGTAGGTGTGACTGAATAAGCAAATTCAAGGGAGCTGTCAATGTGCATCATATGCAGCTTAACAGAAATACTTCAGCCAGTAGAGCAAGGGAAGCAAAAGCTTAAGAGCTGTACTTACTCTGATGTGGGGTACACACAGCTGACCACCATTACATTCTGCAATACATAAACAATAATATATATTAGACTTAAATTCAAAGCAATGCAAAGTGTGTTAAACACAACATACATCAATATTGTTTATCTTTAGTGAACTTAAGAGTGTGTGGACTTTTACGCAAATTGTACAATGTAGTGCTCACCTTCTCTAAACCCACGAGAAACTTCTCTGTTCCTGTATAGTTGCGCTTGGGGTCTGTAAGGAGTTCGCATAGACGCTGGATGGTGAATGGGATTCTGTAAAGGTTATCAAGAGATGTATTTAGGATAAGCTACACATTGCTGTCTCACAGCCAGCACTAACACTTGCCGAACCTGGCAGCACTAGAGATAAGTCAGAAAAGAACTTGGATCATTCTGGACAGACCTGGTCAACCCTAGTCACAGCTGGTCATGAGTTCTGATATGAATGATTATCATGATCATGTTTGGTAGTACACACTGCTTATTATATTCAAGGGGAAAAATTTACACAATATTATGTTTTAAATAAAATACTACATTTAGATCTGACTGATGCACCAAGAAAAATAGCAACTGTTTCCTATTTGTTTTGTTGCTTGAAGCTATCTAAAGTAAAGTAATTGTTGACCTCTGGTTTAAAGAGCTAATATTTATTTTCAAATAAATTTCCAAAATATTTCCAGGCTTGATGATAAAATGTATTTATGCAAATATGTTTTGGGAAAGTCACATGCAAAACATTAAGTTGAGCTCCAATAAATCGGTCACCGATCGTAATCGGCTGATAATTGCTTTAAATAGTTTGATTGGCGGTCTCTAAAAAGGCCGATCAGAAGAGCCGATCATTACAGTCAGCGGTTTGAGCAGTTTTCAAAGCTAGCTAGCACCAAAGTCCTTTTCAGACAGGAAGCGATTGATGCGCCCAGTTAATCATTTACAATGAGAGTTGTGCAGCAATCAGACAGGAGCAACAAGCAGGGGCGATCATGTGAAACTGTCGCGGTCATGCTCATTTCACACACACGCCTTCCCGCTACCAGAGTTTATTTGTCTTGATCCACAGCGCATCAGGCAGAGAGAGACTGATTCTTCAGTGTGAGTTTCCTGATGCAAAGAGAGAGGGGCCGTTTAGCAGCTCAGGCGCCACTCAGTAAGCTGAATGTCTCTCTCTCTCTCTCTGTTTTCGTTTTAAAACAGAGACCTTTTGCTACGTTTCCGCCTTCCGTCCAGACTAAAACGGCGAATCAAAAGACCTAAAATGGAGGACTTTAAAAACAATGACACAGACACTCACATCTGGCTTTCTGATTCAATCTTACCGGTCATGCAAAAGACAAACACAATGCTACTGACACAGTTTTAGTTTTGGTATTTTTATTAAAATATTTTGTACTGTGTAAATAACACTTATACACCTGTGCTGTGCATGTCACTGTATTTACTTTGCGACGACTCCAAGTCTGTTTTCCGCCCGTCACGCAGCTAAAAGCGCTGGTGTGGACAGAGATTGTATTCGCTATAAAACTGTTTAAAAAGTGTGGATGTAACCTAATATTACCCCACTCCCCCTCTCTCTATTCCTCTCTTGGTGAATCCCGTTTTCCTCGGGATTCTCCCGAATATTTCCGTTCTCACCTGGTATGCTCCCGTTTAAATGTTTCTCTGTAAATCTCCAGTATTTTTAACTCATAAAATCAAATACAAATCTGCTGGCCGTATTTAAAGTGTTTGCTACTCTCTCTTCCGGTAAAGCCTGTGGCAGTATGTAAAACATTAGCTGTAACATTGCTAAAACAAGAAGAAGAAGAAGAAAGGCATATTTCACTCACATGTCCTTTTTTTATACAGTCTATGCTAAAAATAGATAACGTGTGAACCGTAAAAAACGACTGACAATGTGCGAGTAAAGACTCCAACTAACAGTAGCTTCAAATTGTTCTGCAAGAATGGTTATGATTATTGACAAGTTAGTTACCATTAATTAATCAAGAGACCAATGTAGACTGTGCTTCTTGCACAAGGATTTGATAAATGAAAACAAACCACTGAATTAAAACTAGGCCTATTGTAGAGGTAAACTAAATGAAATTATAATGAATATAGTAACTATAAGTAATATTAACAATATAATATGGATTTAACATGTACTTTTTATTTAAATTTCCCTTATTTTCAAATCTCAATGATAACAGTTCTCTCCTCTCTGTAGCCCACTCTCCCTCTCTCTGCCCCATAAAGCCCACAGAACCTCCCTGAGCTTTCCAGAACAAAAAGCGGCTACTTCATCGACTCATGATGCCTGTGCTCCTTTATCTACTAAATATTTTGGCAATAGCCTTTTTTGTTGCAGTTTTTATAGTTGAAGTAAATTTATATAGATGCTGTTTGTTTTGTTTTTGTAGTTTATTCCACAGGAAAGCTATATTTGTTAAGCTATAAGATGTACACAGTAACTAGGCAAAGGCTTCTATGGTTTAAGTCTCTAACATAAACAGTTGTCCTTTCATTATACTTTATCATCTGTTAAATTTAATACTTAATACATTGGTTATAGGACTAATTAAATAAATATACAGTATAATGATATATGATAAATAGAAGGCTTGAAATAGACCCAGTGATTGGTGATCGGCCAATACTGCTTACAGCAATCGGTGTTCGGCCCAAAAAATCCTGATCAGAGCACCTCTAGTAACTTTCTATCTTGGGAAACTAGCCCATTACAGAGAAAGACTTATGACACTAAACTGTAATGCATTTTACAAACACAGGAGGACGTAACATAACTCAGGCAGATGTACATGAATTAACTACAGTACACAATGAGTCAAATCAGATAGCTGATTTGATTTGCATGCCTTATTATTTTACATTTTTGTCTTTAGTGCACACCTAAATCTCCCTCTCTCATTGTGGTTGTGTTTTCATTCAATTGATTATGTTATTTAGTTATGTATGTGGGGTTGTGATTTGTTTGCGATATGCAAAGTGGCTTACTCACCCATTGTAACCATCCACTATTTTTAAGATCCTCTTCTTCATCTCTTCGAAGGGAACATACTCTACATTGGGATTATGTGGTCCTCTCTGTTCTGGTGTTGAAGCCTGAAAATCATCCATGACTTTTTCCAATTTAAACATGAAGTATGTTTTGAACTGTGGCCACAGGATCCTGGAAGATATTGAAAATGCAAGTCTACATGTCACACACGAAAGAATGACAAGACTTTGAACACATTTTCTGCAAAAAAATGCCAGTAAGCCTCACAAAAAGAGTTCACCAATGACTAACTTATGTCTTTAATGTCTTTAACATTAAGCTTTAATGTTCTGTGTGAGCCCTTGTGGACAACTCACATTGGCTGCCCTGTCTTGGCAACATGACACAGGAATTGCTCTAGTACAGGACAGGTCTCTTTCTTGCCTTTCTTCTCAAAATCTGTAAATGCCCACATGTAAAACAGGATGATTAGTTTATTGGCAATATCGTTTATCCAAACATCATACATATCAGTCCACAACCCAGCCAACACTGGTTGCACCTGCATTAACCTTAACCTAAAGTTGAACATTTTCAAACAACCCAGATGCATATGACGATTAGAGACTATTGTATTCTAGAAATTAATCTGGAAAACATGTTAAATCCCGTTTAGCGTCAGGTTTCTTCTGGCGCATTAACTGTAACTTGGCAATGATTACATGATTGTAAAGTGTTGAATTATCAGCTGTGTCGAGTGAAAATAAAGGGAAGAAACAAGTTAAACGTGACATCATAAAATCACCAAACACCAATTTCAGCTAGCTAGCAGGAAAGTTCTTGTAAAAGTTGGTAAGTAAGTTAGCTTGTTTACTGTGACGTTACCCGGCTAGCTGTTTACATAATCCGTATCAGTACAGAAATAAATGGGTCAAGAGTGTAAAATGGGACCAACTGTTGTTGACAATAACATTGAACTAGTTAAGTCAAGCAGAGACAGATCAGACTGTCCCGTAAGTGCCTCTTCTACACGTTTATCGTTGTCAGTAAGCTAAGTTACGATCATGTCCGTAACCTACTTAGCAAACATTACAGATTTTGCTAAATGCATCAAAACAAATGTCAAAATCCTCCGCTAATAAATTACAATTTATTAATTTGGATAACTGTAAATATTGCCTTGAAACGCTTCCAATAGGGCGTCGATGTCCATTGCTGTGTCCAGTCACAGGCAGGAAATACTTGCTAGTTAGCAGTAGCAGGGTAGCAACCCAACAATGCTAGTAGCAGTGAAGACTGCGCATGTCTAAAATTGCGTATTCACATTTGCGGAAGACGCGTTCCAGTTTAACCTGAGATCAACAAAGCATTTGAAAACCCCCGAGGCAGCGGAATGAAGTGGCCTGAATTGAAATATTTTTTCTTCTTATGGCGCAAATATTTCCATTTTTAGGTAAAGCATGTAACTTTACAGCCTTAAAGACAGAAACTTCTGGATCTCTCTGGTGCGCTGCTGTAACGTTAGATGCCGCAGGCAGTCAGCGGGCGTCATCGTGTTTCTGTTGTTGTGACGGAGCAAACCAAGACAAGCGGCCAATGAGTCAGCAGCTGATAGGGGGCAATTTTACCTAACGAACCTATATATAACGATACCAGCCCTGGCTGAAACATCTGCCCAAGAGGTCTGCTAGTTCTTTTACTTAGTCGTTTTTTAGAGGTATCGTTAACAATGGCAGTTCCAGTAGCTGCATTACAGCTGAGCACATCATCCAGCCCTGTTCTGCTGGAGCACAACATTCACATCAGCGATTTGGCTGGGATTTCAAGTAATAATGAAAGCGACACTCTGCCTTTACATTCTTCGTGGACTTTCTGGCTTGACAGGTAAGACACTGCTTGGATACCCCCCCCCCCCCCCCCCTCCTCACCATCGTTATATTATTAATCTATAACCAGTGTCGAGAAGTAGGTGAACTCTTTGTACCTGACCTTTTAATGAGAACAAAGAACAAAGGCGACTTGATCAGGCCTGCTGTATTTCAGTCATAGCAACCAAGATAACATTATAGGTGTGGGAATTATCTGTTTTAATCAATCACAGAGAAATCAGGTTACAATTAATAGTGTTGATGCAGCCTTTCTGCCAACTCGTTGTCTCGTTGACCTACATACTCAAGTCCTCCACTTGGAAGGATCTTAAAATAAACAGAAGGGCGTAATTATGACTGGCTGAACATAATAACGTTGGTGAAGGTCATTTTGAATTCATAATTAGCCTTTACTTGGATTTTTATGAGCGCAGGTGTTATGTAAAAACTTGTTGAGTCACTGCTCATCTGTTGCCATTGTTTGGTGAACCACTTTCCCCCCTTGTGTTGGATTATCTCACACTTGCTATTGCTATATACCAAAGTTCCCAATTTTAAAAAATCAAACTTTTTTAAGGAGGGATTTCACACCTAATGTTAAGTAATCATAGCAGAGTTGAATGCAAGTGATGGTGAGTTGCACAAACCTCCTCATCAACAGTGTGTACAAATCAGAGGGTACTGTGTACTGTGTCCAAATTGGGTCAGTGTTGTTTACTGGCTTATTTGTCACCTGACCCCCCCATCCCACCCTCCCCCACCTGTCTGCTCAGAGGGCCACTAACTGAAACCTGAAACATGCCTGAGTAATGGACTAGAGAGAGAAATGTACCTGGGATCTTTACAAGCGTGCTGTTTTAAAAGAAGCTAAATAAATATAAATGGCATTCAAATGATCTTTTTTTTGTTTGTTTGTTTTTTGTCAGATCTCTACCAGGAACAACAGCAGCTGAATGTGAGTCAAACCTGAAGAAAATCTACACCGTGGAGACCGTCCAGGTAAGATGCTTTACGGTCTTGATGCAAGAGCACTTCACTGATGTCTTTGTGCCTTGAAAGTAAACAGTATGCAGGATTTACTAGTAGCACTAATGCTAGTAGCATCCCTGTGTGCTGTCATACAGGTCAAACCACAACATCAGCCTGTGGTTCAAAGCATCATTATGTTATTATGTGCTATAAAGTACTAATAAAGAGTTTATAGAGCTATTGACCATTTGTTACTGACAACCTAATTAGCATGCTATTTTTCATATACCATAGTGATTATGGCAGGATGTTACAGAGTTCCCCTTTATGAATCTCTGAACACAATTGTGTTGGTTAAGAGCAATGAGGAAAAGACAGTGATTATGTAGATGTGAAATATGAACAAGGCCAACTGTGTGTACCCCCTGTGCCAGTTAATGGTTCAATAAAATAACCCGTTTCCTCTGTTCGCCTCGGCACTGGAGTAGAACTTTTGGAGAGTTTACAACAACATACCTGGCGTGTCCAGCTTGCCCCTGAGATGTAGCTATCATATGATGAGAGGAGAAAGAAAACCACTCTGGTAGGTTTAAATTTAAGTTAAATGCATGTGTGTGTTATTCATAATGTTTGTTATTATTTCAGCTTGGTTTGTGTAATGTTGCCTGCTGTTTTGCGTACAGGGAAGAAGAAAGCAATGCCAAAGGGGGTGTTTGGAAAATGAAAGTACCAAAAGAATGCACTGTAAGTGACATAAACAATATACATATTTATTATGTACTATTTGCTTATCAATTATTTACTATTTATCAGATTTGTCTCCATATTGACAGTCTGTTGTGTGGAAGGAGCTGCTATTGGCTACTATTGGAGAACAGTTCAGTGATTATTGTGCCTCAGGTAAGTTTTTTTTGATTGAGTTATGTGACAATGCAGTTACTTTAGGAAATGAAAACATGAAAAATTTAATATGTACACAATATTGTAAGTCAGAAACCTCATTTCCTGTTGCTGTTCTTGCAGATGATGAAGTAGTTGGGGTCAGTGTCAGTGTAAGGGACAGAGAAGACGTCTTTCAGGTCTGGAACGGAAATGCTTCTTGTGCTAACGAGTCCAACATCTTGGGGAGGATCTACGAGCTCCTTCCAGAAATACCTTTTAAAGCGGTGTTTTATAAGCGTGAGTATTTTCTTGGAATATTAACAATAACAAATCATGGTTTTAAAAATGGATTGACAATAAAACTATAAACCCTACACTGTTTAATAATGTTACTGTACATACAACCAACTGTATACATAACCAACTGTGTATACGTTGTTATACTCTGCATACTTACCAGATGCAAAGATGTTGTTCATACTGTGCATACAACCTTACATTTGCACTCTTCATTCTCTTAACACTGTCCACCTCTACTCTACATACTTTTAATATATTCACATATACTATATAATATCTTTATATTGTAACTTCACTGTACATATCGTAAGATATAGCTTAACTGCACCTAGGTTAGGTTCAAGTTAGATGTTAACTTCATTTCATTAGCTCCGTACCCGCACTCTGCATAATGACAATAAAGTTAAATCTAATCTAATCTAATAAAATGTGAATAATTGTTCCTTTTGCTTTTATTTCAGCACACGAGGAGCACCATGCTTTTGAAGGAGGTCGGTCAAGACCATAGTACATTGTTAACATCAGAACCCTTGAACTATACATGTTTCTTTGCTTATGAACATGTTTTGAAGATATTTCGGTACATTTTGAAGCAGTTGAGTTCATATTTGCTTAATGTGTCATGTTAATTACCTCATAATGTAGCCCATGTTTTATTACTCTCAATCGATGGCATTCCCCATCTTCTGAGCACTACTGTCATTTATAAAAACATCCAAAATACTTTTTAATTTAGTGGACGGCAAACATCGTTTTAGTTTAATTTTATCTATTGCAGTGTTTGTATGTTTTTATACTGCAAAGTTTTGCGAAGCCAAAAACGGCAGATCATGTCAGATTTTTTAAATGTATTATGGCACATTTTGTGCAGTTTCCTGAGCACAGACAAGGCTAGGTCTTTGAATTAAATCTCATTTTTGAAATCTAAGATGAGGCCTAGTTCCACAAAGCAAACCTTTATCTTAACAACACATTACAAGGCTTTTCTAGTCCGCTCTTTTCTCTGTTTTGTATGTTACAGCCAAAATACTGTTGCCTATACCAGAGAACATAGATGTTTAGTATGCTGTAATGCTGATATATGAGCTGAAAATTGCACATTCTTTTTTTATTTTCTTCTTTAGGATAGGAGTGGATTGTGAAAGGAATATGTTTTTGTTACAATAAAATGACCTCGGTACAGAAAACATCATGACACTGAGACATAATATGCAATATTTTTTATTCTGTAGAATTTGCAGTGTTGTGATTGTCATATTGTTTAAGAATCTGTCACGCATCAAGCACTTTGTTTCTCACTGTGTGTGTGTAAGACATCAGACAAGTCCCTTCAGGCCATATGGAGTTGTGTCCACTTTGGTTTTGTTTCACCTTTTCTCATGAAGTGTAAAACTATTTTTGTTCAATTTGCTATGGATTTCTTGTAGTTCTTCCTTCTTTTAGTAGTAAGTGTTGAAATTATATGTTTTTTATTCACCTGTGTTAAAACTACATTTGTGAAACCTATCCTTTATAGATAATATTGGCCCCAGTGTTTATAGAGAATAAACAAATAATGGAGCGAAATACACAAAAAAGAAAATATAACTTTGGTGACTGATTTGGGCCTATTTTAGCGTTATTTGTACAAATCACGGGTGTTTGAAGTGATGCAACCACGGCTGCAGGGTCAAATCTGTTTGTTTACAACTGCTGCACCCAAACAATTTCAGTGTTTCTCAGATCTCTAGGTTTAAAGTTTTTTATTATTTTTTCTGTATTATCTGATGTGAAATGCTGTATTTGTATAATTGAAAATCCTAATCATGTTAGGGAAATGTTACAGTTTAGGAAGCTGCACCATTATACATCTCACCAAAGGCACCTTTCCCGCGTGTTTGTGTGTGACAGAGCGTATGAGTGAGGGCATGAGATTTACTATTCGAAACTGCATAGAGGAGGACAGATTTTTTTCAGTACTAGTACTATTTTGAGGTAATTTCTACGTAGCTATGGAGTATGCATGGACACCCATTGAAAGACTGCTGCTATGATTTCTCAATCAAGTCAAATGTTTTCAACAAAGTGTTTTTGACAAAGTGTTTATGACGCTAGTGTCTTGGCTTGGATTCTCTGCTAAAGAATATTCACAGGAGGACATAGTTTTCAGTCCACCGACTTTGCCAAACTTTATTTTCTCTCTATTCATCTTCATGTAATAATGTTATAAGCACATGCTGTACTGTAGGATAAGCAAATAACAATACCCTTGCACATATACAGTTGACAACTCACTTCAGATCTCCGACCTTGTAAGTGATTGTTGATCTTGGATGGTGCCTTGTGTTTACCAGCAGTTTAGAATGTCATCTGTGTCCAGCATGTTAGAATTGTACAAAGTCGTGTTTCTTTATTAGTTTTACACGTGTTTGAGAAATAAAGATACCTAAACTTTCACCTTTTGATGTTTGGAAAACTTACTGTATGTAATAAATTTTAAAAAAGCAGCATATTACACAATTTGTCTACAAGTGGTAAAAAAAAAAAAAAAGGTCTGATTTTAGATTCAAAGATGAGGACATGAATTTAATCATTAGATTTTTGCAATGAATCAAATATTAGACTTTATAATATTGTAAAGTAAATATTGTTTCTAAATCTAAATTAAGAATCCAACATATACAGTATATGTGTGTGTCATATATATATATATGTTTTATGTTAAATTATGTAGATATATATGTACATATATTTTATATATGTATACATGGTAGTATGTGTGTGTGTATACATATATATATATAGGCACTTAATGGGGACAACATTGACTGTGGATTTTTTTATGCAGTCTCTGATTTTAAACCAAGGAAATGAAAGGCCTTAATTTCATGTAGGCTCTTGTACTCAGCTTTCTTCAGGAGTAGGAAGCGACCATTTCATGACAGACAGAAGGACAATGTCTCCCTCTTTTGGTTGCATCAAATTATGGCCATAAAAAATCCACATTACTGAGCAGGGCGCTTGTACTGATTTTTTTTTAGTGTATGGTATTGGTCTACATTCGGACTGTACAAACTATGGATGAAATGCTCGAGATTGTGTATGGAGAGTGATGCAAGGAGACATTGTTTTGCATATCATATATATCATATATGCACAAGACTGAGAAGCGTCCCTGCGAGCATCCGATTATTGTAAGGTTTAGTTTTACTGGGAATGTCAGAATAATATTCAACTGACGCATACTCTCACATCTTCGAGAGGGATAATGTTATTTGTTACCCTTCACCAAGAACTTTACCGATAAAAAGGTTTTCTGTTTTATCAGAACAGAAGTAATGAGCAATCCTTTCCAGAGGATTTGCCTTTTCCTATTCCTATTATTTCTGTTACAAAAATGTTTCACATAATATTTTAAGATAAACATGGATATGAGGAGTAAAAGATTTAAAGTTTTCCAGGATCGACTGAGCTAAAACCTCATTTATTAGTATCAATTTAGTATTAGTATTTCTGTCTCCATTTTCTATAGCAATTTGCCCTTGATCAAATACAGACCCTGGTCTGTATAGAAATTATGAATTTCATATTGGAGATCATTCAATTTGATCTGCTCTTCTGTGGATAATGTTGCTTTACCTAATAGATGGTTCATTTCAAATATAGATTTTTAGATTTCCCTTCTTCTTAAAATTGCCATTTTCCTTATTTTGAAAATGGAAGCAATTCCATGGTTGCATAAAACTCATAGAAGTGCCCTTTAGAGCCGTCAATTTTGACCTTCTCTGCAACAAAAAAATGATAACGTTATCCTACTTTTTGGGGAGCTTTTCCTTAACCCTGCGTCATGATTCAAGATGGTCTGAAACGGTCTCGCGTGTGACCATGACGTCACCATTGTTTACTTTTACCTAAGCCACGCCCTCTGTTAGCAACTTGTGGCTAGCTCGCTTCCAAGGAAGGCACTGCTCCGAGGTTTGCTCTTCAGACACCACCCCGAGTCAAAAGACTGTCCGCCCGCACATAATTCGGTGAGTAAACATCAAGTCAACAGCGCGCTGGCGCTCATTGAATGAATATTGAATGTAACGTTTGATTCATTGTGATATTTTTTGGGTGGCATAAACATAGAAGAGAGAGAAACGTTTCTTACAAGCTAGCGTTGGGGCAGGCTGCTAGCTTTTGTTGTACTGTCACCGTAAACGCCACCCGCAAGGTTGGTCGAAAATTGTTTTCCAGTCAAGCTAACATAGGTTATCAAAGACAGCGGGTATACAACACTAGGTTAGCTTCACAGTTAACATATTAACTTTAAACCTCCTGTTTTCTCCGTAAGTTATAGATGCATAATAAACGGCTCAAGTCCTCTACGCGAACCTCAGACTGCAACGGTTGGTGTTAACGGATATTCACTCGTATTGCGTTTAGCTAACTTAATGATAAATAGTATTGCCGTAATCAACAAAGCTAACGTTACACCAAATAACGCTCATTCAGAGTTTTAAGTATAACGAATTGGGGGTGAATTGTCAGGTGTAATCTCGGCTGTGTTCTGGAGGTAGGTGTAACGTTAGTTAGCTAAGTTAACTTAGGACTCCATGAAGCCAGCTTCCTATGTGCCCCGAGTTTATAATGCTGCAACGGGATGTAATAAACATAACTGTCTACTTTATTCAATCGTACTTACACAGATTTTGAATGATCCCATTGAAAATGATTAATCGGGCACCGAAGACAAAAGATGTGCTGAAACCTACCAAATAACTCACCACATGAATGAACCACAAACTAAAATATCGATTAACTATGAAAAACAGGCTTTGATCCAGACAAGTTGTAGGTTATAAACATTAAGTTTATTCTGATAAACTGTGAATGATGACAATGTTGTCGATTTGTCGGTTGCATTCCCATTCCCTTGTTATACACTGATTTGAGCACTGGTTTAAATGTAGGTAATGTTATATTGATTTTTTCAAGGGGATTTCATAATTTAAGCTTCCATCTCCATTTGATAATACCTAATAATACCTCATGTGTCAATCCAGTTATCATAAAATTAATTATTACGGGAGAGGGTGTAGATTGTTTACTCTTTCTAAAGGAAAGGCCTCTTTGCAGTGTTTCCTTTACATTCTTTGAGGAGTGCTGGCCCCCACTGCTGTGTGTGAATACTTTAAAATACAATATAAATCAATCATGGACTTATTATAAAACACACTGTGCACTGCAGCACAACTATTCAGTTGTCATAATCCTACCAGATAATATCTGTTTTTAAAATAATGCATAGTAGAGCTGGTGTGGAATGGCCCCACTAGTCAAAATCACCCCTGACATCTTCAGAAATGTGTACAGGAAACACTGTCCTTTGTCTTCATATATTCCTGATCCTGAAAGCAAAAGTAAACAGAGTGGAATCCTCACTAACAGCTACTTGTTTCGATTAGATAGTTTTCAGTTTTAGATTACGGAAATTACCTCACTTTTAATGATTTCTCTATGAATAACGCATTGCTGCAGCTAGACATAACTTACCATTCAGTAGTCACCTATTAGTCATTTTCAAATGCGGGAAATGCTGTGTGTGTGCTTATTTCTTCTTGAATTTTTCTGTAGCTAACTGTTGATACGGCATATGTCATGAGTTTATCTGAGTATAAGTCTTATCGGATAATCTGTCAGATGTTGCCTAAATGTTGATGTTGGCTCTCAGTGGTGCCTAACTGATTGATTGATTAACTTTTGATTGAATTTGATAGTTGGCTAACTCTGAAAAAGTGGCATTATCCTTGAGGCTATGTGGACTTCATTTGAGGCTTTCTGTGCAGGTTTTCCATCTGCTCACTTTATTTGTTTTCCTGCTTTATTGACCTTTGTTTATGCCGCTTAGCTTTTGACTCAAACACACCCAAGCTGTATACATAAAAGCTTACTTGTGCATTGTACTACCTGTCACAGCCGTTTATCGCACCACCTGGTTAATGGTAAATTGTTCCAGAAGGAAGATATGTTTGCACATAAACATGGACCCAGGGCCCCTGTGTTTACAGTAGTCATGGCAGCACTCAGTTATTCAACAAATAGACCTAACATGTTCCTCTCTCACTTGTAGAAGAGAATGTTTGTCTTGGTGGGGAGAGCTATAACAGTGTAGTTCTTAACTGGTAGTCTTTTAGTGCTGTCGCTTTCTACATTCAACACAAGTTAAGTGTCTTGGTTTCCTGGTGACTACATAATGGGACCATTTCAGACACTCGTGTGTTATTGTTATTTTTTGGGGGAGAATGGGCCTCTTATCACCTTATGTTATAATAGACTTGTCAAATGCATCCAGAACGTGGCATTCTGTTTGTCTGCTCCCGGTATTTCATTACATTGTGCTGCCTTATCCAGTTGTTTTCATTGATACATATTTTCTTTCTCAGGTCAGTGAAGTCCAGATGCATGAGTCTGGGTCAGAACCAACACGCCACACCACTCCAGGAAGTCAGACAGAGAACGGGAATAATACCGAGAATGAGAGTCGACTGAAGAGCAGCCAGACTCCTCCTCCAGAGGCACCCAGGGTCAGTCATTCCCAGCTGCGTCCGCTGAACACATCAGCATTAGTCTTTAAAGGCATATTGTTTTTTTATAAAAGTTGCAGAACATATAGTATTTGATCTGAGCATATTTCACAAAAATATGACATTGTGATGATGCCGTACACATGTAGAGCTGAAAGCGTTAGTTGCTTAATTGATAAGAAGTTTACCAGAAAGTTAAGCCGAAGCTCTTTTGATGGATGATCAGTCTTCTTTTCTTGGTTTTTCGCTCCAGCCTTCCAAATGTAAACAGTTGCTGCTTTTATATATTTCACATGATAGTAAATGGAATATCTCTGCACTTTGGACAGTTGGTTGGACAAAGCAAGTAATTTGGAAATGGCACCCAGGACTCTGGGAAGTTCTGATGGGTTCAAGGGAGTTTTTCTGCTCTCAGTGTAGTAGGATCTGTTATTATTATAGCATATTGCTGATGTTGTCATTGGAAACATTTGCTCAAAGCAGGTAAGATTATAACAAATGTGTGATGTAATTCAAAACAAAGAACACACAGGCTTGCTGCTTTTTAAAACAATTTTACAACTTTATTACTACTTCTTTTTTAAAAATATAATTGTGATGGACATTTTATAGATCAAACAATTAATCAAAAAAATGCATTGGCTGATTCTAAGGCAAATTAATCGTTTGTTTTTTGCTGTTGAGCACTTCTGTTATTTTGTTACAATGCCATACAGCTGCTTAGCGCCATGCGTAAATGTTTGTGCCACAAATATGTGTTGCAACTGATGCAGCTGCTTTTACCTCACTAAAGTGTGAATCACAATTAGTTATGCTGCATTTGAATTTATGTACAGCTGGCCTTGTATCCAAACATCCAAATATCTTTTATTGTCAGTATTCGTTGAC